GCTTGGTGAAACCAGACAATCCATTTGTCTGTCTCATTGTATGCATCTTGTCTCTTCTCCCGGTCAAAATTTTGTGTGGGTAAGCCTGCACAATTCATTAAGGTAACAACTAAATTAAGGGCAATTCTGCAGAGACTATTCTCTGTTTTCTATGGTTAACTAAGTTAAGGAAACCATAAGGTAAAATTGTCACCTGATGACCAACATCCCAAAGTATTCTATCTTGAGGAGCATTGAAAACAGAGTGAAGAGCCACAGTAAGCTCAACAACGCCGAGGCTTGAACCAAGGTGACCCCCAGTCTTGGAAACATTAAATATTACATCGGAACGTACCTCATCTGCAAGTTGTTTCAGTTCCTGCATGAAAGATTACTATTTGATCATAGTTTATAGAGATAAACGTATACTTCTTGTCGATTGTGCAACTACACAGCGCATTCTTTAAATATTTATAACTAGTTATTCAACAGAAAATAGGTCTCTTGACAGTTAGATTCATGTAGCTGACACAAAAAACCTTGAGAGAAGATTTTGTTGAGCTGAGCTGAGTTGAGTTATCTACCTTAATGGAGAGGTTTTTCATGTGAATTGGATAGTTGATAGTATCCAAAAGGGGTGTAGGTGGTCTCTGAGATTCATACTCCCCTCTCTCTGACAATGATGCACAAACACCTAGTGTTCTTTTCCTGACCTGTCAAACAAATTATTAACAAAAACAATAAATTCTTTATTCCTATCCTAAACTGACAGCTTAAAGACAAATACTTATCCAAATCAAAACACAAGTAAAAACATAGATTCACAATAACTACATATAATCACTTGGATTCCTCCTCTGAGGTGATCCTACTTACAAGTTACAAAAAAAAAACATAAATAACAAGAGGAGGAGAAAACCCAGTTCTTAAAAATCCAGAAATTTCAAACCTTATTGGGCTTGTGTTGAGATTGAGCCTTCACATCTGTTCCCCAGAACACATTGTGGAGGTCTGAAGCCACTGCCCGGTTTAACTTCCCAGGTAAAGCAAATGTACAGAAAGCCATTGCTGGCACACATATAACTGAACTATAAAAGAGAATTTGAGAAACCCACAACAGTAGGTGACAGGTTCACAGAAAAAAAAAACCCAGGAAATGTAACCCAGTTCACTCTTTTCACGAAAGAGAGAGACAGACAGACAGACAGACAGAGACAGAGGATGCGTTTTATGGAGGGAAGACCTGTATTCCCACTTCCAAGTGCGGGTGCCAGTGCAACTGCTGGTGGAGGACTTCAATTAAATGTGTGTGTGTTAGAGAGAGACAGAGAGAGGGAGTCTACAAGGACCGACTTGGTGGTGGTTGCGTCTGTTGAGCATTCTCTTTGCAGTACTGTTGCTTCAATATTTATAGTCTGTGTATGCGTCCTCGTATTGGACCACATCATCAGAAATCACAAGTGGATAGAATGGAAAGTTATGATAATGTAACTTTCATTAGGAAGAAATGGACCACTGACGGGTCTTCAAACGACCCGCCGCCCATGACTTGGCCCATTAACCAGGAAATCAACAGATAATCTCTCATTAATGAGATAACCTTACCATTAATGAATGAAGAATCTAATTAAATATGATGGGACTCACTTTTATCAGCATTTCGATGGAAGCTCAATGTAGTAAAAGATCAATGAACGTCACCCCAAATGGACCAGGCATACCAAAAATAATGCAACACTAATAATCTTCTTCTTTTTTTTTTAATTCAAGGGATATTTAGGCTAACTTACGCGTATCTCGATTAATTTCTTCTCCAGTCTGATCAAATACAGATCATTCATTCTAGAATCAGAATATTCACATGGAATAAATCTCTCATAATATAGTTCTAAAAGATTGTCAAGGTTAAACTCAGAACGTTTAAGTTCACAATTAATACATTTCGCAACTTAAACTATGATGGTGCTAATTAATGTGGATGAACAGAGTGCATGGAACCAAAGGTGAATTTAAACTGCCAACTTCATAATAACAATGAAGTGTTTCTTAGGGGATAGGGGAATTTGCACAGTAAGAATATAGTGATGCACCGACTCTGGAGCTCGGCTAATCCACTTTCTAATGGAGGCTTCCCCTCCTTTTTTGTCTATTGACTACTTGAATGTATTACAGTACAATGCATGATCTAATTAGGGTTCTTCTTGAGTCCTCCCTCTCGATGAGGCGTTACATAGTATTTATAAGGTTGTTCCCTATTCTGTGGGATTTCAGTCGAGATTTTTATTCATTATTCATGGGATTCTCCTTAATTTTAGGAAAAAATCTTGGTTGGTTGAGAGTTTTATTCATTGTACTCAATTTTCGCAGTCATCCAGTTGTTTCCTGGTTGGTTCTGTTACGATTTTCCCAATGGAGCTTTACCCCTGATTCTCTAAGTTTTCCGTGTCTTTCCTGACCTAAGTTTACAGTTAGAACTTGTTTGAGATATCATCAAACTACCTTTGGATTAATACTACTATTCTAATCAAATTAAATTTGGTTACCCAAATGAATTGACAACTTCTTATCCTCAAATTATACATACTTGGTTGCTCGCAGGCAAGGGCAAAGTCAAAAAATTTGCTCAGGGTCGACACTTTAATTATGTACTCTAATTTTTTTTCCTTCTAATCAATCACACTATGTAACATATTTATATTTATTATATTATATTTGATACATGAAGTCCATTTAACATGAAAAAAATCCAAATATATATATATATATATATATTGTCAAGGGCAAAGTCATGAATATCTATGATAGGCAAAATATAACTGGTATAAAAAAATATTAAGCCAAAATTAATACAAAAAAATTCAGTTCAAGAATAAAAAAAAAGTAAGAATCAACACTAAATTATTGTGAAATAGTAAATTCAATTTTTATTTAGCCGAAACAAAATCTTAACAAAAAGACACAAAATAATTTTTTTAGTACATTTTAGCCTAATTATATATTTCAATAAAATATAAAAATTTTTAAAATCTCTTAAATTTTGTATATGAATTAAATGTAAATTAATTTTCGTATTTTATTAGGTTATAGACTACTATTACTAAAAAAATGGTAAATGAAAACTAAAATTTATTCTTAAAAAGTAACGAACATTATGTTAGATAAAGATAAATATTGTATTTTTGTCAATATACAAATAAAACATTGACTCAATCCAAAACTAACATATTTATTTTAGAGAGTTAGTGATCCACTAATTTATTAAAAAAAAAAAGAGACTAGAACCATTATTAAAATTTTTAAAAATTTAGGGGGTAAATATAATATATAAAATAATTTTATAGATTGGTGCAAAGAATGACAAAAATACTCAAAGAACTGAGTTTCTCATGTGTTGAGTTTTTTTCTGTTTATTCTTTTTTTCTTGTGGCTGGGCAATGGGCAGTGGGCAGCTGAGAGTGAGTGATACAAAAAAAAAAAAAAAAAAAAAAAAAAAGATAAGATAGATTTTAGTCAAATGGGCCAAAAGTTTTGTTTTCTAATGATGGTGGGCCAAAAGTTTTATTTTTAATGTTGGATCAAAAATTTTGTTTTTAATGTTGGATCAAAAATTTTGTTTTTAATGTTGGACTAAAAGTTTTATTTTTTTAATAGATTTGAGTGGATTATGATAGGTCAAATATTTAATTTTTTAATAAGTTTGGATAGATAATAGTGAGTTCAATTTTTTTTGTTTTAAATGGACTTAATTGTTTAATTACTTTGGGTAAATAATATGGGTCTAATATAAATGAGGGGACACGCATAATATATATGTATAAATATATAATACATATATCTAACTAATAAAAAAAAAATTGAGGGGAGCACGTGCCCACCCTGGCCTCTACCTCCCTCCGCCTATGCTCGCAGGTTTGTTAGTAGGTTTGTCATATCATTTGAATAATTTATTTGGTCTCAAAATTTGATCACTGTGACATTTAAAAAAAACTAAGTGGAGACATAATTTCTCTTAATTTTACTAAATAATTGATCATTTAGCAAAATAAAAAAAATAATAATAAAACATAGGAAAGATTCTAGTCTATGTCAATAACTTGTACGGTTAACCCAACATTATGAACTTGTTTGACGCTATTCAAATATTTTGAACTCGACTTTTTCTGTTATTTTTCATTTTTAATCGATGTCTATGGTTAGCGAATTATTACACTTATTTAGAATTTATACTTTAGGGTGGATCCAATACAATCCTTATCCTCGGCATAAAAACCCTTAATAAGAGGGCATATATGTCCTTGTCTTGTTGAGACTCCTTTTGGATAGGGAAGAGTACTATTAGAGGCCCCTTGACGCCGTTTGTTCATTGAATCAAATTATGAAATGTTCCAAGTTCTCTCTGTCTAGCTTTCCTCGTGTTGTTTATACTTTGTCAATGGCCTGGCCAACGTGAAAAACGACCATGACTTAATGTTGCATGGAAAAATTTAGGTTGGGCATCACCTTCTTTCATCCATCGAATTATGGGTCTCTGCTTTCATAGTACCTCCTCTCTCTTCAATTGTTCTTCAAGCTCTGTGGACAGAATTCTTTCCTCCAGTAGGTTCTCAGATGTTGAACGAGCCAAGCTAATCGAACATGATTCAGATTCAACACTAATAAAACCACAGAAAGGTTCAAATTTAAATGATGAATACATTAGGAGCCGTTAGGAATAGATAGCGACAAAGGAAAAATGAAGTCAATAAGCTTGAAGATGCTGAACCCAGGATGAGTTTGATGAAGTCTCCATTTGCTGATGAGAAATTTTTGTTTATTCCACAAGCTCGTTTTAGTTCTTTTTTAAGCTCTTTCGTATTACAAAAATGAACCGAATATGATCAATTTTTTAAATTCGTTCAGTAATTAAACCAAGCTCAAGCGACATGACTCTCTCTTCCTTGGACAACTCGTAGCCAGCCTTGATCTTAGGACAATATGTGACCACCACCTTTTATAAGCAAATTGTCCTGTTCAAGCTAATCAATGGTGAAATTACATCTCCTCATCCATGGATTTGCAATAAATGTAATATGAAACACACTGTCATCCAGTAAGATATAACAGGAAGTGTTAAGCACAATTTCAGTTTGAAAATTGCTTATGGCGAATAACAGTACCATTTTAATCCAAGATAAGTGCATAAGTAGATCTAACCATCGAACAATTATCTCACTCACTTCATCTTGGCCTCGGTGAACAGAACGTGTCGATTCACACGAGGGTCATATTTCCTGAACTCAAGCTTTGTAGGGATTCTTCGAGGATTCTTCCTCTTCACGTAGAAGAATCCAGTCCCAGCAGCAGAAACAAGCCTGATGAACATTGAAGCCTGCTTCTTCTTGTCACCCATTCCTTCAATTTAAAGTGGGTATCGCCCAGTCTCTTCCTCTGTTGGAGCTCCCAAAAGCCTGGCAATATTAACAAGTACCTTAGAATGGCTTTGCCATCAAAAGTAAGAAACTGTAAAACAGTTACACAACTCTGACCTTTAATGAAAAAATTGCAAAACTTAATCAATGCAATTTTAAAATTCAACATGGCAGGGTTCAACATGGCAAATTTTACATCCATACTGGCATGTGATATTTAATTGGAGAGAAGGTGGTGATGGAGGAATAAAGGGCACAGGGCGAATGGAAGTGGAACGGTGAAACCGATGAAGGGTGGCGAATAAGAGGGGAAAACCCAGCTCAGCAACTGTAAGCAGGTTCAGGTAACATACCAATGGAATTTGCATATAAATCGGAAACAAAAAACATTACAAGTGTATCTGTATGAATGTCATACTTCGTGGTTTGAAAAATAAGCTAGTGTAACCCATAATTAAAAAAAAAAACACAAAGACTGCTAGCCAATTTTGACCACAAATACAACTAAACAGCACATTTGTGGAANGTGGAACGGTGAAACCGATGAAGGGTGGCGAATAAGAGGGGAAAACCCAGCTCAGCAACTGTAAGCAGGTTCAGGTAACATACCAATGGAATTTGCATATAAATCGGAAATATGAAATTGAAGTTTTGTTGCAAAGTAAAACAGCCCACAGAACTTGATCTAACAACATTTTCAGCAGCAAATGCCCAGATTTAACGACACTTCGGAGAAGAAGTGAGAAATTAGCATGCCAATTCACATCAAAATGAACATTGTACATATAAATCTACAAATCGCATCCCAACAAGCAAAAAACTAGAAAATCAGCAATGGTAATATGCAATTAACAAATTCAGCAGCCTAGAACAATGATTCGCTTCACTGCCTAAGGCTAATTTCAGATAGAAAATAAGAAATCCACAAAACAAAAAAGAAACAGAAATCCAAAAGTAAGTGAGTATGCTAAAGATGCAAATAAATGAAGTCNAAGCCTGATGAACATTGAAGCCTGCTTCTTCTTGTCACCCATTCCTTCAATTTAAAGAGGGTATCGCCCAGTCTCTTCCTCTGTTGGAGCTCCCAAAAGCCTGGCAATATTAACAAGTACCTTAGAATGGCTTTGCCATCGAAAGTAAGAAACTGTAAAACAGTTACACAACTCTGACCTTTAATGAAAAAATTGCAAAATTTAATCAATGCAATTTTAAAATTCAACATGGCAGGGTTCAACATGGCAAATTTTACATCCATACTGGCATGTGATATTTAATTGGAGAGAAGGTGGTGATGGAGGAATAAAGGGCACAGGGCGAATGGAAGTGGAACGGTGAAACCGATGAAGGGTGGCGAATAAGAGGGGAAAACCCAGCTCAGCAACTGTAAGCAGGTTCAGGTAACATACCAATGGAATTTGCATATAAATCGGAAATATGAAATTGAAGTTTTGTTGCAAAGTAAAACAGCCCACAGAACTTGATCTAACAACATTTTCAGCAGCAAATGCCCAGATTTAACGACACTTCGGAGAAGAATTGAGAAATTAGCATGCCAATTCACATCAAAATGAACATTGTACATATAAATCTACAAATCGCATCCCAACAAGCAAAAAACTAGAAAATCAGCAATGGTAAAATGCAATTAACAAATTTAGTAGCCTAGAACAATGATTCGCTTCACTGCCTAAGGCTAATTTCAGATAGAAAATAAGAAATCCACAAAACAAAAAGAAACAGAAATCCAAAAGTAAGTGAGTATGCTAAAGATGCAAATAAATGAAGTCATAGAATAGCATTGCAAGTGGAAAAGAATAACACAGAAACCCAAACCCTAATAAATCAATCAAAGGCAAAATCAGGTTTAAAAAAAAAACCCTTAAAACTACAAGCAGCATGGAGAAAATGTAAGGTTTGATAAAAAAAAAAACCTATTAATATTCACAGACTAGCCCTAATCGCAAAAGATAACTGCATTTCGTCAACGCAGAAACCCTAGTTAAACACCCCTCGAAACGAATCTCAGAGATCCCGCCAAATGCTTTGATCGATGCAAATTAGAGAGAGAGAGAGAGAGAAGTTACCAGTGGCGGAAAATTGAGCTTAGATCAGCGGTAGGGCGGAGAAAAGAGAGCGGCAACGTTTGGGATTTGGGAGAGTTTGTTGATATAATATTACTTGGGTAAAATTATATTTAAACCCCTTAAATTATATCTCTCTTTCACATTGTCTTTTTAACTATTTATTTTTTTCACATTATACCTTAAAAAGATTAATTTGAGTTTTACATCGTTTTAATCGTTAATTTTTATCAATTTTTTTAACAAAAATTATATTCAGACTTTCTGAGATTTGTTACTTAATTACTTAAATATCCTAACATTTTAAATATTATATACAAATCTCTAATGTTTGTACACGTGTAACACTTAAACCCCTATCATTAATATTCGTTAAAATAACCGTTGATAAATTATAATTAAACCCCCTAAAATTTTTATAAATTTAATATTTAAACTNAAGATTAATTTGAGTTTTACATCGTTTTAATCGTTAATTTTTATCAATTTTTTTAACGAAAATTATATTCAGACTTTCTGAGATTTGTTACTTAATCACTTAAATATCCTAACATTTTAAATATTATATACAAATCTCTAATGTTTGTACACGCGTAACACTTAAACCCCTATCATTAATATTCGTTAAAATAATCATTGATAAATTATAATTAAACCCCCTAAAATTTTTATGAATGTAATATTTAAACTTTTCAAGTTTAAAATGTTATATTTAGACAAAAAATACTCCAATCAAAGATAAAATATCAAATATTTTAAATTTTATAACTAAAATTCATGTTTTATTATGTCATTCATTAAACTAAAATCGAAAATTAAAATTAAAATTTTAAACAAAAATTATAATTAGTATACAATTGTATTATCTATTAAACGACCAAATTACCTCAATTAAATATAGGAGATATTATGTTCATTACAGTTTGACCCTTTATTTATTTTTTTATTTTTATTCCAATAGATAGCAAAATTACATAATNCAATCAAAGATAAAATATCAAATATTTTAAATTTTATAACTAAAATTCATGTTTTATTATGTCATTCATTAAACTAAAATCGAAAATTAAAATTAAAATTTTAAACAAAAATTATAATTAGTATACAATTGTACTATCTATTAAACGACCAAATTACCTCAATTAAATATAGGAGATATTATATTCATTACAGTTTGACCCTTTATTTATTTTTTTAGTTTTATTCCAATAGATAGCAAAATTACATAATAATTATAATTTTGTAAAGAAAACATTAGATTTTTAATTTTAATTTTATTTTAATAAATCACATAATATAATATGAATTCTGGTTATAAAATTTAAAATATTTAATGTTTTATCTTTGATTGGATTATTTTTAGTTTAAATATAACATTGTAAATTTTACGGGTCTAAGTATTAGACGCCTATAAATTTTAAAAGGTCTGAGTATAATTTATTAACAGATATTTTAACAGACATTGACGATAGGGGTTTAAGTGTTACAAGTATACAAACTTTAATAGGTCTTTGTGTAATATTTTAAATGTCAAGAATTTAAGTGATCAAGTAACAAATTTTAAGGGATTTAGATGTAATTCTTCTAATTTTTTACAATTACGTCAAGGTAAAAATGAAAAACTTGATACACATCAAATAGACAAAAATTCAAAAAATGAATCAAATTCTCATCTATAAGAAACTCTTCATACAGGAATTCAAACATATTTTCTGAGATAGCAAAAGCAGAAAAAAAATACGATTACAGCACAAAACCGTACAGATCTATGTAGACAAAAAAATACAGATAAAAAAAAAGGGATTAGGGGTTACATTACCTATATATATATATACGTATACGTATACAAGTAAAGGGGTTACATTACCTTCTTCGTCTTCGGTTGTGAGCCTTCTTCGTGTGAGGCTTCTTCGTCGTCGATCTGTGAGTGGAAGAGAGAGAGAGTTGCTGAGAGAGCTCCGGAGAAGAGAGACGTTGCTTACCTTAACAGAAGAGAGAGAGTGGCTGAGATTGGGTTGCAAAGGGAATGGTCTGTGCGAAGAACAAGAGTGGCTGAGACAATATATATACTCTCTCATATTGTTAAGTGGAATTTTGTGGCAAACAAGACTCCGATGTGAGACCTCGTTTTAAAAAAAAACGGTTGCTTTCTGTTTTGTGTGTTTTTTGGAACAAAAATTTTTTGTTCTTATTTTTTTTGTTTTGTCTCCAATACAACGAAAACAAAACAAAATCAAAAACAATACACTCACATATTTTTGTTTTTATTTTAGATAAAATTTAAAAATAAAAACACAAAATTCAAGACAAAAATAATTACCAAACATAGCCCNACATAATATAATATGAATTCTGGTTATAAAATTTAAAATATTTAATGTTTTATCTTTAATTGGATTATTTTTAGTTTAAATATAACATTCTAAATTTTACGGTTCTAAGTATTAGACGCCTATAAATTTTAAAAGGTCTGAGTATAATATATTAACAGACATTGACGATAGGGGTTTATGTGTTACAGGTATGCAAACTTTAAGAGGTCTTTGTATAATATTTTAAATGTCAAGAGTTTAAGTGATCAAGTAACAAATTTTAAGGGATTTGAATGTAATTCTTCTAATTTTTTACAATTACGTCAAGGTAAAAATGAAATTTCACGATGCTTAAGGCTGTGGTGTTTCCCTCTTCAATTAGAATAAACTTGAGGGGAAAAATTAATAATTAAAGTAATGCGAACTATAAAGGAATAATTTGAAGTCCAATACAAGAAAAGGGATAGATTAAGGGTTAATAAGAAGAGTGATATTAAACTAACTACAAAATAAAATTAAAACTAAAGATCAAATGCCGTGACATAGTAATAACTATGGATAATCTGTGTTTGACGTGATATCTTGAAAGGGATGTTGATGGCCGTTAAATGAATTTATTTGAGACCGTCAAATAAATTTATTAAAGTCTGTTATATTTTATATTATAGATTATATATGATACTTCTAATTCTATTTTTATTCATTTGATATTCAAAATTTAATTGAAACTTTAATTTTTATCTATTTTTTAGTCAATGTAGTTCAGCCTTTTGATGGATCGAATTTTGGTCTGAATTCGATCCAAACTCAAATATAATTAGTTGGATATAGATTGATATTTTTTATTAATTATTTGAATTTGATATCTTATATTTTTTACGAATTTGAATTTGAATATACATATTTCAAATTCGATTATGGTTCGATCCGAAATATTTATATATTTTTTTAATAAATATTAAAAAAATAATTTTTTCGGATCAGATTGTTAACGAATTAAGATGTGAGTTAGACAATCGAATCGAACTTCCAAAATCAAATTTAAATTTAAATTTGAATCAATCAGAATTCGATCAAAACAGGATCGATTAACAGGCCTATATGAAGGTTATTGTAAGGGTAATTTAGAAGCTAATACAAAAATTTAAACTTATTTGAGGTAAACAACATTAAGAAAATTTATTTGACCCTAAGTAGATTTTTTTTGAAAAAAATATTAAAAAGCCATTTATTACTCCATTACTTTCTTTCTCTCTCCATTATTCTCTCACTCTCTCTTTTCTATTTTTTTTATCTCTTTCTCTCACATTGATAATTTATTTTTTCATCTCTCTCACTACCTCTCTCCTTATTTCCTTATTCTCTTACTTTCTCTCTCTTTATATCAATGTTACAATAACACAATTACACTAATCAATTACACCAATTAATTACAATTATTCTATAATATACCAAACAGTTACTCGCGTGTTCTAATAAATCAAACTGTTACACTAAACAATTATACAACATTACAACACCAACCCAATTTATCATTCAGTTATTTACATAAATCAAAGAGTTGCACCACTTAGTATCATCATATGGTTACACCAATTATATACACCAAATCGAGTTATTACACAAAAGACTTAACTATTATACTAAATTTGGTATATATAATTGGTGTAACGATGTAGCGATATTAAATAATGTAACTATCTAATTTATGTAAGCAATTGAATAACAAATTAGGTTGGTGTTATAATTTTGTGTAACTGTTTGGTATAATTTTTTGGTTTATTAGAATAATTGTTTGGTGTATTATAAAACAATTGTAACTAATTGGTATAACTTATTAATATAATTATGTTGTTGTAATATTGATTTAAATAGAGAAAGAGAAAGAGAAAATATGGAGGGAGAGAGAGAAACGATTGGAGAAAATAGGGGTAAGATGAAAAAATAAATTAAATCTTTATATATTTGAAAAGAAAATAAATTATCAATGATAGATAGAAAGAAAATAAGGGAGAGATGGAGAAAGTAATGGAGAGAGAGAGAATGAAGAGAAAATAGGGGAGAGATAGATAGAGAGTCTTATAAAATCTTTACATATTTTGTTAGATATATAACTATCAATCAAGAATGCATAATTTAAGAGAGATTATTTAAGTAAAAAAAGTTTTGATTTCATTTAAATTTTGTACCTAAATATAACATGTTTTATTAAAATTAAACTTAATTGAATAAATAACTTATCTATACATTTTTCCTCAAATAAGTCTAAAAAATTATACCCACAACCAAAAATTCCTAAGGAATCGTTTGATAGACATTGATGAGCCCAAATTTTACTAGGTCAAACCCAATTTAAATAAATCGAGAAAGCCTAAAGAAGCGTCCAATGTCAACCCATTGAGAAAAATATCAAGAGGACAACACCAAAATCCAACGGCCAAAGTGGGAGGAAAACGAGGGAGCCCTTGGGCACCGCCCATGGCATCCCCTTGGGCGCCCCTCCTCTTGTTCCTCTTCACCTTGGTACTCCAATCCGAGTCCAAATCAAGCCTACTCACGACAAGTCCAAGTCCAAGACGAGGGTCAAGCTCAATCCAACTAATGTTCTCCTCTGGATGAATAGGAGCACGAGGGAAGATAATTTGGAGATTAACATAGAAGATCTCCTATCATAATAATACTTTCTAAAGCAATAGAATTCTTTTTCCTCACGTCACCGCCTTTGCTACCTTACTCTAACTATATAATGTAAGTCCTCTCA